AAGTTAGGAAAGCCGTACAGTATGTTCTGGCACAAAGTAAAATGGCAATTAGGTAAAAACTTACAGTGAGGGAAGACCGGAGGATCTTGTCCTCAAGGGCCTGGTCATCATCAGCCCCGAGGGCGGCTCTGTCAATCTCAGGGGTCATGCCCCTCAGAAGCACCCTCGGGTCCGCCGTGCAGTTCATCACGGCCGTTCCCACCGGGAGAGAAACCATCAGGACCTCTGAGGATGGCTCCCGGACACCCCCCGACACTTCCGCCACCGTCATCTCCTCAGGCATCCCGGGGGCGGGGCAATCATCAACAATGACCACGGGGGGACCCTTCTTCCTGACATCTCCCGTTTTTGGCTTTTTGCCCTCGGGAGCCTTGCCCGCAACTTTTCTCTTCGCAGCAGCGGCAACATCAGCATTTGGGACCGCCGGCGGCCCCTCCGGCTTCTTAAAGAAGTCACCGGCGGGTTTAGGGACGCCAGCATCCGTCCCCTTCGGGACCTTGGAAGATTTCTTCTTCTTGAGGTCAGCAAGCCCTCTGATGTTCATCATATTGACCGGGATACCTGCAACACAATATAGGGTTAGGCCGAGGGGTCATTAACAGATGGCATAGAAGTACAAAAAAAAAACAACGACAAACTATGTGCTAAAATACGAAAATGAGGGTGCCCTCAGCCGCTACCTCCGGAGGCTCCCTCGAATGCCGGGAACTTTTCATCCGTTTCCCCCAGGAAGCGATACCGTTGGAACCCGAGGGTGTAGAGGTCCTCCTCTTGAGTGCACTCCTTGATGGCTACATTCTTATCCCGGCCCTCCGAGATCTTGGCCAGAATCCTCCCATCCTTCTCGAGGGCGGCGCTCCTCACTTTCTCATGCCTTCTGAACCGGTCACGCAGTTCCCTCGGGAAGGGGCTCTCGGCTAACTTCACGTAGCACCACCGGTCTTTCCACCCTTTGTTTGAGGAGGGCGCCTCAGTAAACAGCTTGAACAGGGCCACCTGTTGCAAGTTTGCGAAGACCTCAGCATTCGCATGTCCCCCCCGACATAGGTTAAAACTTTGAAAGAAGAGATCCAGGCTAGGCGTTACCCCCCGGGATTTGCAGAGATGGAGGAAGCCCGTGATGTAGGAGTGGCTGTTCGGGGTCAGTTGGCAGGGGACCAAACCCACGAACCGCAGGTATTCCCGAAGGAATGGGTGTAGGGGCAACCGGAGCCCCATCGATACGGTCAGGACATGCACTGCAATACAGCCCTCGGGAGCTCGGGAGAGGACGTCATCGGGACCCGGTGCCACCACAATGGCCGAGGGGCCCACATGTAGCTGGGTGACGTAGAGATCCGCCTCATCAGCTTTCGACCTTATCTCTAAGGCGGCGGTATTCAAGTAGGAATACCCCTCGGGCATATCGAGGGGCTTCCCTTGGTCTGCGACGCTGCCCTTCTTCTTGGAAGCAGCAACCTTCGCCTTCTTTTTTCCGGGGGCCACCCGGATGGGAACCGCGTTCAGCGGCCGAGAGGTGCTGGCCTCACCAGTGCCCCGAGGGGGGAGAACAGCGACGGTGACCCTCGCCCCCTCTTTCTGCGCCTCTTCCTCAGCTACTTGCCAGGCGAGGGCCAGCTCTTCGTCTTCACATTCTTGTTCGAAGCCCTCGGCTTCCGCCTCGGCAATGAGGGCTTTCTACAGCTCCATCGCGAGGACAACATCTTGTCCCACCGAGGGCTGTTCGCTTGTGGACTCCACGTCCGAGATGACTTCCTCCTCCATCGAGGGCGCCCCCGAGATGTCTTGAGAGTCGCTTTGTGAAGACATCGTCTGTGCTAGTTCGAGGGCTCAAGTGTGCTGAGTGCTCTAAACTGAAATTCCTAAGTGTAAGTCCTAAGGCTGCTAAGCACAGCTAGGTAACAAGGATGGAGGACAAGTGAGGAACTGACCTTGTAACGGGAGTTAGATCGAAGGCAACTGTTTCTCTCTCTAGGAATTTGGGCAGAGCTTCGCTACAATGATATCGCACAAGGGAAGTGAAGCCGGCCATGGGGTATTTATAGGCGCCCAAATCCGGGCTTGGGCCTGAGTACCGGGCCTCCGGTAAAAAATCATCATTACCAACCGACGTTGTTACCCAATCGGTAACGCCCGCCCGCGGACGGCCAACGAGCACGCACCACGTGGAAGCCCCCCCAACGGCTATATTCTGACGTTAGATATTTCAACGACTATATTTCCAACGACTATATTCTGGGGAGCTCCCGACTACACTTGACAGATCACTCCTTCATCAACCAAGAAACTAGCCCCCGGGCTTTTTACTTCACTCCACTTCATCAAGAAGAGCCCCCGGGTACACTTACCCAGAGACACTCCCGGTTTGTGCCCCACACACTACATAACAAATGCCTTCGGGCTCACTCCTTCAGAAGCCCACGACTTCATAACAGGCCCACCCCTCGGGGATCCCCCCTCAGCACTTTGAGGGCCGGGTAGCCCCCGGGGAGTACGCCTCATTGACGGACAGCCTACGGCACATAGGTAACGGGAGCCCTCAGATACCCTCCCCACCAACTAATCAACAAACAGGGGACACCCCGGTAACACTTCAACTACTACTCGCATTCATTACGCCCTCGATCCCCAGATTGAGGGACTCCCCTTCGGCACCTCCCAGGATATCGACAGCAAGCCTCCGGCTAATCAACACATGAGCCCTCAGGACAAGGATAGCCTTCGGCATCAGCATTGTACTCCATTTCAGACCAGGGCTTCACGTTTTCGATTCATCATTGGGGGACTTCGGTGCACTCTTTTTCCCTCATTAGGATTTTTTCCCACAGGGTTTTTCCTAATGAGGTTTTTAACGAGGCATCCCCCCAAAATGAAACAAAAACCGTCAGCTTTCGGCCCAAATCAGCAGCATGACTACTCTACTCCTTTTCACCACTTTGCAAGTGCCTCAAGGAGTGGGGGACTGGAGGACCCCCTCGGGAAAAATCACAAACATGACCCCTCAAGTCCTGACATGTGGGTAACTGAGGGACTGCCCTCGGCAGAATGAACAAACAGCAAACTACCCACAACTCTACAAACTACAACGGAACAACAACAGAGGACAAACACAATTACTGTTTTTCCCTCAAGTACCTTTCGGCAAAAGGAGTGAGGGACTCCTGATGGAGTATATGGCCCAGGAACCCCCGGCCCACAGACTCCTACTACTCCAATAAAGGCCCAATAGGCCCAGGAAGCACAACATGCCCAAATCACGGCGCCCAAGGCACCAAGCAGCCCACAATGCGCACCAGGGGTGCCTTCGGCCCCCTGGCCGAAGGCCCTGAACCTCACAGAAGGGCTAAAACAGGAAAACAAAGTTACTGGGAAGAACGGCGAAAATCAGTAGCCCTCAGCAACTGGAGCCCTCGGCACTAATGGGGTCCCCTGTACTCAGAGCCCTCGGCTAGTCATCTACAGCCGAGGGCGCCTTTTCTGACATAATATCCGCTCCACATGCGCATGGATCACCGTACCGAGTACGACGTCCCATCCAACAGTTGAGGTGACCTCTCGGCCAATGGATGCTTGACACGTGTCCCTGTCTGGCATTTATTGCCACTATAAATAGCACCCCATTTCCCCATTTGTAGCCAAGACACGAGAAGAAAATACGCTGAATACTTTCTAATATACTCTCTCTCTCTCTCTACTTACTTGCTCTGACTTCTCTCTAGTTATTCCCCGTAGTAACCCCTCAGATAAGCTACTCCCCGGTTACACTATCCATCACATATACTACCTCCGTTCCTCTATTATTGTCTCATTGTGGTTTACGATGTTTGACTGATGATAAAGCACACAGATCCCTACCCCTATTCAAATTATTTTTAGAAAAAAAATTACATATTCAGAAACTACATTAAAAGTTTTACAAATTCACAAAAACCAAAATTAATTAAATTTGATAAAAATTTGATACATAAAGTAAGAGATTAAGAGTGATTTGTGTTGATCAATTGAATAGGAACTTGGACAATATTAGGGAGGGGATGGAGTACTTTGTATGTATTAGTACAGAATAACAAATTATTTATATGTGTAATGTATGATTGCTTGTCTTACCAAGAGATGTTAGTGTTTTATCAGGATTCTAGTGATGTTTCGTCATGAGTAGGTATGAATAAAGAAAACAAATTAATTAAAGCCGGCCGAATCAGTGAAAATCGAACCAATAAAAACCGAAACTAACAAAAGAAAAAACGATCGAGTCATAGGCGGTTCAGTTCATGATTTTAAGTTTAAGAATGACAAACTAACCAAAATTGTCTAAAACCGATTGAAGCATACCGAAACCAATGGAAAATAACCAAATAGAAACTAACTAAACGTACTCGAGTTGATTGAGAGTACTCTATCAGCTAGCTACAATGTGCACTATTGTCTGTTAAGACTCGAGGTTCCATCCTAAAAGGTCAACCTAATAGGAGGAGTAGTTCAAAGTCTTATATAGTGTTTTATTATTTTATAGTTTTCCAGTGTGAGATAAATACTTTAACACGCCCCCTCAACCTGAACCGGGTTGGACAATATCGGGGTGTATAAATGGACCAAACAGACCCTTAAGAAGCTACCCGTGATCATGGGTGCTAAACAAGCAGTCAAACCACAACCGGAATTGGCTCTGATACCATGTTAAGACCCGATGTTCCATCATAAAAGGTCAACATAATAGGAGGAGTAACTCAAAGTCTTATATAGTGTATTATTTTTATAGCTTTCCGGTGTGGGACAAATACTTTAACATTGTCTACGGGAAAGGTACAATTGAATTAGTTATAGTAAACTTGACTAAAATGTACGGAATACTTGCCAAATAAATTTTAAATTTTAGTTAAATTATATAGTACGTGAATTATGAAATTAGAGATACGTAATTGACTGATATTTATTTACAAATTTTCGACCGGCCTATTCTTTTTAAGAAACACAAAGATTTGGTGTTGCATTAGAGTAGCCTTTAATTGTTTTTCTAGGTTGATTATATTCTTCTTGGATATTTGTCTCTGCTGTGGAATTAGTTAACATCCCCATCCCACAAAACAAATATGATTTAAAATAGGAAAAAAAGGAGTGATTACATCATATCAATATAATTTTTTATTAGTATTAGCATAAAGGAGCCCTGCATGGGACACTTTTCCTCTTGTGTAGTTGCTTCTTGGGCTTTAAACCTGTGGCTGTTACCCATATTTGAATTACCTCAGAAGACTCAGATAAGGAACTGCAACACTCATTTTCTGTGTTTTCCTTTGTGGACACTTCACCAAAGTGTGAAATCTGAAATGAAAGAATCTTGTCTCTATATGCATCATCAGAAACCTGTAAATTGTAAAAATTTATAATGATTTACTACTTCATTAAAAATATAAGGTATTAAATGTAAAATCATATAGGAATTGTTTGGATATTGTCGTGCCTGTTGGGCAGAACGCCACTTTTTCACACATAATGTTGGGTAGAAAACGTTGGTAACCAAACTGTTTTAGTAGCTTTGTAGCTGTTTTAATGTAGTTTTTGAATATGTAAATTTTATTTACTAAAAATAATCAGCAGAGATTAAATTGTTTTATCGTCAGTCAAACATCGTAAACCGTAATTGGAACCTCCTAATGGGACGGAGGGAGTATTTTTTAAATAAGTTATCTGGATGAGTATACAAAAGTTTACAAGTGTTGTGTACAAATAAAATTTCCAAAATTTTATTAGTGACCAATGTTGGTCTATACTTCTCTAGTGCAGAAACAAAAACAGTCTAAGATAACAGCTTCTATGACGACATTGTAAGTTGCTTGATTTGTACTTTCCAAAAAACAAAAAGAGAGCTCCACTTTCTATCCGTCGGATTGATATTATAATCCAATTTACATCCTCTCAACGTACCGTCCGATTGAGGTGTCATCCTTTCTTGTTTTGTACTTTCCAGATTAGAAGTGCTTCAAAGTTCAACCTTTCAAATTAGTACGGCCTCGACACCACGTAAGCAAATGAGGTACTACGTAGATACGTAGTATTCAAAGGTTTTTTTTTGCACTCATTTGCCATGGGCCCATGGTATCAATCAACACTATTGTTGTTGTAACCGCTCCTATATCCATCATGTTTCTCAAAGTTTTTTGTTCGTGAATCCAGTTCACAAACATAATATGTTTTATCTTTTCTGTACAAAATTTGCACAGACAAAATAAGAAATGTTTTGTCTGTGAACCTGATTCATACACAAGAAAAAAATCTTTCACAGATATGATCGGTATAAAGGTGGGTATTAAGATGAATACAAATATCTTTTTTGTATTTATATTATATCAACTTAACGCATCACGTAATTTTACATTCACTTATTTAATTATTTATGCCATTTAAGTAGTTTTAGGATGTTTTTAATGGAACCAATTTCATTCTTAGATTAGATCAGGCAAGACCATAACATACTTCAACAATATTGATAAACATATAAAGTATAGAACAAATATCTATCAGACTAAAAAGATCAGAACAAATCAATTAGACTTTAAAAATACTTAAATACATAAAAATTATTAAAAAACATCTAGCAGATCAGAGATTTAAACGGATCAAATCAGACTTTAACAAAGTAAACGGGATTAGAAACATCCCGTACAATTTGAAACATCCTCACATTCCCCATATCCCAACTTACTTTCTTGAAATTAACCAAATGAATTACTACGTAGTTAACTAATTAAAAAACCAGTTGCATGTTTAAGCCTTTAAGGCAATCTTAGCTTATATGAACGTAACGTGACACCCGTGACATTAAAGAAGAAAAAGACAAGAGTACATATATGTATGTAATAATGGAAAGAATCAAATTATATTAAGAGTAATAGCGAATTACTTTGCATGCAATAGAGCAATAGCGATTTTGGAATTCTTGAATATGCCTCCCACATGTATTGCAGCATGAACCTCCTTTTGCCCTCCACGTTTTGCTATCCTTCGATCGAGGCCGTGGGTTTAAGTGAACGGCCTTCTCGCTGTTGATTTTGTAGGTCTGGAGACATTAAATTAATTTGAGTCATTAAAAATATCCAATTAATTCAATTATAAATTAAACTTTTAAAAGAATGGACTGATCCTATTAAATTTGAACTCATTATCATATATTAGTCAGGATAAAGAGAGCAATGAATCTGATCAGGATATCCATCCGTATGCATGCAAAAATGACTGTGAACCTTGTTAAAAAAGTTGTCTATACACATTGCCTAAGTGCTGATTTTTCTAGCTATTAAAATGCAAGCAAATGGAGTCCGAAACCCATTTTAATTAGGGGGCCCATAAGGTATGGACGAATTTGTACAACCGTAGGTCATATTTTATCCCCACACCTATAAATAGGAGTCTCACTTGAGAGGGATGGAGAGAGAACTTTCCAGTCAAAGAAACGTTGCAGAAAACTGAGAAGAACTCCCAAGAGGCTCTGAACGATTCCGAAGAGAAAGAGATCAAACCACAAATTTTATTAAGAATATTTTATTAAGAATATACAAATAATCCTTTGTGATTTCGTTCATTATTGATAAAATAAATCCAAAAGTTGAAGAACGTTCAAAGATCTGAAGAACGAAGTTCGAAGATTCAAAGATATGAAGAACAATGCTTTGAAGATTCGAAAATATGAAGAACGAATCTTTGAAGATTTGAAGATATTTATATAAATATTGAGTTAAAATTCAATTGAAGATCAAGTCATATATCCCAGGAAGCCCTTAAACAGAAGATCAAGCCATAAAACAACCCTGTTGTTGAAGATGAAGCTACTTGAAAACTAAAGGCCCTTCAAGCTGAATTCTTAATTACAGAAGAATCGAAGATTCTAAGAATGAAGATTCGAAGATTCAATGATCTCAAGAACGAAGTTTCGAAGATATGAACAACGTTAGAATATTTGAAGGATTTCAGATTTAATTTTAAATTAAACTCTTTAGTTATATTTTTTTACTTCAAATCGCAAGTGAAGAATCAGAGGATTCATATTTATAAATTATACCCAATATTCTCACATATTATTATTTGTGATCAATTTTAAGTAAATATTTAAAATTTGTTTCACAATTTGTCTCGGCAATCATGAAAAAGAAATTGGACGAAGAAGTAATACTAATATATACTCACATTCACGCAAGTCCTACTCTTATGAGTGCTTTCATAATTTTTAATCTAGTCAAGGACCAATGGAAAAAAAATCTAATACAGTCTAATTTAATTTGTCTAAATCTAATTTGATCTCGTTTGGTCAGATAAAGGCCTCATATATGTGTATTTTCCTATTATCATCTAGATTTAATCCGTTCTGTTTAACTATTGTCTAGTTTTATTATGATGTATTGAAACAAATCTAACCTAGAAAATATATATGTTCGATGTTTCCATTACAAAGTATTGTTAATTTATTTATTAGTCAAATAACTTCTTTGATGATAATGTAACATTTCATTTCATACTTAATGACTATAATAGTAAGATCATAAGTACGTCCAAATGGCTGTGATGGTATATGCATAGTAACACTAACCACTTTTTAATCCATAACTTCTTAATTTATTTAATGTTGTTTTATAATTAAAGAATTATGTCAATAATTATTTCATACAAAGTACTACTGCATCCAAAAAATGTTCTATTAATGGTACTTTTTTATTTTGAGATGTGTTACTTTCATTGACGGATCATATATGATCAAATTTGAAATTATAGTTGTAATTTACTGCTCCGTATAATTCTAATCTTTCATGATTCAAATCTCAAACTGTGATCATATATGATTCAAATTTATTTCAAAGTATGTTAGAGGATGCAAAAACCAACTAAGATAATTAAAAGGAAAATTACATTTGTACACACTTTTTTTATACACATTATTATTACACACATTATTAAGTTTTCTGTTGTTTGTCACAAACAAAACAAATTTTATTTGTGATCCACAAAACATGTTTTGTTTGTAACACAAAAACATTTTACAAGGTTTGTAAAAGTATGTACAAAAAACATCTACAAGCAGAATTATTGTGATTAAAACGTGAACATTTTTAAAAATTACAAGTAAAGACTTCTGCTGCTGTCAGGTGGAATAATGGTCAAAAGAGTTGTCAAACAACTGACAAAATCTAATTCAAAGTGTCAACAAAAATGATCACTGTCTCCCAGCCATTTACTATAGCCCACATGGAGAATTTTAAAAAGAGAAAAAAATAAACAAATGATAGACAAGTTGGAATCCACATTGAAATTTTTTCAACTTTATACGAGTTTTGAATAAATGATGCCTAATATATTCTTGTGAATTTGTATTTATATACTACCTCCTTTTTTAAATAAATGTAAAAGTCTATTTTTCACATTTATCGAGACACAACTTAGACCATTAATATTTACAATTTTCTATCAGCAAAGAAAATTAATACAAGAAATCCGAGTTTGAAAATTTACAATGATTCACATTTAATGATATTTTTTTAAAAATAAATTATTAAATAAAATGTAGTCAAAGTGAAACACGTGAATAGTGTAAAATTCAACATGTTGCACTTATTTAAGAGCAGATGTAGTATGATTTATTTCCTTTTTTAATAGTTTTAGTTACTTCTTCATATTTTCCATTCTATTTTTTCGACATCTCTCATTTCCTTAATACTTCAATTCTTTCACTTTTTCTCTCTTTACTATTTCGAAGCTTTTTCTTGTAATCCATATTTTTTTCTAAAATATTCATTACTCTTATTATATTTAATTTTTATATAAAATTTATGGTGTGTTTACATTTTTAAAATTTTTCTAGATTTACCGAGTCATCCACAAGTTAGATATAGAAATGTTATTTGAGTTTTTAATATCAAATAAATCAGCAACATACATGAATATGTATACAAAAATGTGAAAATATGAACCTAGCAAGACTTATTGTTAAAACACAAATGCTAAAGGTACCCCAAAATGTACCCCATTTTTACCCCCACCCCCTAATGTGTGGTCATAAATGGGGCAATTCATTTAAGTGGGGCAACACTTAAATGAATTGATCCATTTATGGCCACAAATTAGGGGTTGGGGTAAAAATGGGGTACATTTTGGGGTCCTCCTAGCAAAACTCATTCCTATGAATTCCAGGTATCCTCATTTAAAAATTCCTGGAATTCACTAAATTATGGATGTCACCAACATGGAATTCTATTCATATATTCCTTTAATATCTAGCTAGATGTCTTTAACTTTTAATGATTTTTTATGAGGTGAGTTTCAATGGGGTTTTTATGGATTCTGAACTAAAAAATAAATACATTCATATCAAAATATGATCACTTATCCTCGGATTTTAATGAATTTCATTTAAATTCAATAAAATATGATAGACAATGGATTACTATTAATTGTTTTTTTTGGATTTCTATTAAAATTCACATACTTTATCAGTCCTAAAAATATCTTTCCTGGCTGAGTTGTGTAATAATAAGAAAAAGTTGAAGTTACTTTTCTGATTGTATTAGCTGATTTCCTGGTTGAGTTGTGTAATACTCCCTCCGTCCCAGTCATTTCTTCCAACTTTCCTTTCTGGACCGTCCCAATAAATTCTTCCAACTTTCACTTTTGGAAAAAATATGTGGTTCACATTCATTCACCTTTTTCAATTCTTACACAACTACAACCATACATTTTCACTTTATTCCCACTACCTAAATTTGCGATACCAGTCAAAACCGGAAGAAATGACCAGGACGGAGGGAGTAATAAGAAAAATTAAGGGTGAAATTACTTTTCTGGTTGTATTGACTGAAGTTACTCTAGAGGATCATTTTAACTATATTTTCATATAATTTTTTCTTCATTTTACTAATAAAAAATATTTTAAATATATGCTTTCATAAATCAGCAGAATCGGCCATTTCAGCTAGAACTTTAGAAATTTCAGCAGAATCACCTGATTCAGCCAATAACATTGTTACCAAACAGCCTCATATTCTCACGATCGTTTTATTTGGAAAATACCCTCTGTACACGCCAGATTTTACACGCCGGATTACACGCCTGTCAAATTGTCTGTGTACTAACAATTTGATCGGCTACACAGACAATTTGACCGACGTTTTATAAAGAAAACCGATTTTCACACAAATAAATACAAAGAAATTATCTATATCACAAACATTTTATAAAAAAAATTCGTCTAAAATATCTGTGATACAGACAACTCTTTATTTTTGTCTGTGTGGAAATCGATTTTTTCATAAACTGACAGTTAAGTAGTCTGTGTAACCAGTCAAAATGTCTATATACAGACAATTTGATCAGCGTGTAACCCGGTGTGTAACCCGACGTGTACACGAAACGGGACTCTTTTTATTTACTTGAGAAAAAGTAATCTAGGATCGTACAAAATGTCAATCTTACACCAAGCTACATAGGCCCACAAAAACTACAAAGCGTTTGTTATAGCAACTTTCAACAAATCGGGAACCCAAGATGGCATAATCATCATTTCTATAAAATGACAACAGTAAAAATGAGAAAGTTATTAATGAAAACACTGCTTGTAAGTTTATTATATTTATTATGGAACATAAATTCCAAATTGAGTTGCTATCACCCTAAAAAGTTGAACCAAGAATAAGTTAATTCCATCCAAGATCTTATGTATCCACAGCATATGCATAAATTTAATATTCCACTTATATTGGCAACTACACAATTTTGAATCTAGCGGATTAAAGAATCTTTAAATGGGATCGATTTCAATTAAAGATTACATCAGATCAAATTTAAACAAATAAAATCAGACATCAGATTCAATCAAACCATACTTAGACCATAGTACAATACGCATAAAAATATCTATCATCTAGAACAAACTAATTCAAACCAGATTAATTAAACTACACTAATTTTTTTTTTTAAATTGAAACATCCTAAGCACTTGGAACTTCCCTACAGAATCCACAAAAAATTAAACATTACTAATAAATTGAATTTAGTTGATCAACTAGTTTAAACCAAGATCTTGTAGATTCATACGAAGTATGTCACATTCTAAATGCTCCCTTAATCTATTCATGAGATGACAATAACCAAGTAAAAACTAATACTCCGTATGTAATAATCTTGGCTAAAGGAAATAATTCTGGTAAAGACTTATCATTAAATTAGTTTTTTATAGGAAAGTTCCTTAAATGGAACTAAAAAAATTTTGAAATTCTAAAATAGGACTGTCATATTTTTATTCTCTAAATAGTAGTAATTTCTGCCAAATTTGGCATTATCTGGCTTTAAACATGGCAATTTCTACCAAATATTTTCAAACATAGCAGAAATTAGTCTAATTCGGAAATAAAAACGTGAAATTCCTATTTTGGAATTTCAAAACGTCTGTACTCATATTGAATGCAATTTCTATAAAAAAAAGCTAATACTCCGTATCTAATAATCTTCGCTGAAGAAAATAAGTCCACTTGGTAACTTTTTTCGACTCGTTATTAAACCAGTTTTTTTTTTTTTATCAAATACTGAATTTTTTATATAGCACACTGAAGTTATGTAGCAATCAAAATTAGTAAGACTTTTCAAATTGAATTAGTTAAAGAAGCCTAATTTGTTTGTTTGAATATTTTTTTATTTATAAAATACATTTTACTCCGTATAAGTAAAACAAACACCATAAAATTGGCTAGAAAGAATATCTATTTATTATTAGGGAAAAAAGAGAGGTCTGTGACTGACTTGAATAAGAGAACAATCGAGGTGTTTCTGAATATCTTGGAGACGGACGACGTCCTGATAAACATACTTGCAGATTTGTAGCCAACGGTGGCGAATGGAAGAATGCGACGGAGAGTTAATACAGTGCCGGCAGAAACCACCGATGTTGCAGTCTATACAAAACATATTCCGGTCATTTTTCCGGCGGTCAATGTGGTCAACGCACGGCCCGAAGAATTTACTCCCAAGCAATCCTCCCAACCATTCCACCTTGTTCTTCTTTCTTATCGACCCCCCTACCTTCAATTCATTCATAAGTCGTTATAATTAACAGCAAAAATATTAAAAAAAAAACAACAAGCAAAATTTAAATAATACTAGTATGAAAACGAAGATAGGTAGAATAAGATGAGAATTATAAATCACCATTCTTTTGTTTTGTTTTTGTGTGCCTGTTTGACAGCTATAGCATTAGAGACTAGAGAGGAGAAGAGAAAAGTGGCCGCAGGTTTGGAAGGAAGAAAGTTTTTAAAATGGGAAAGGAGATGTGAATATGTGATGTATTGAGAATGATAAGGAGTATTATAACAGGAGAGCTGACTTATTTACATCTTTTCTATACATTTTTTGTACATTTATCTATACACCGCCTCTGTTCTATAAAATTATTCTCGATTTGATTTGGATTGCACATTGAGAAAGTGATTATAAATTGAAAATGTATGATTATAGTTGAGTAAAAAAGGTAAATACATGTTAGTCACAAAAAACTTTTCAAAATGGGAATGCGAATTTTTTTTGGAAGATCCCAAGAGGATAAGTGAGGAGATTTATGGGATGGAGGAACTATATAAATAATTTCTTTTTTTTATAGATAAATTATCTATGTAAACATGTAAAATAGGGGTTGTACATAAAAGTATACAAAAAAAGGTGCAAAAACATATTTTTCCTTAAAATAATATACTCTGGGGATTTTCCAAAAATAATACGGAGTACTAAAACTAATCTCATTGACAAAAATAAGATACCTTTCAAAAAGTTCCAAAAATGAGACTAAACCTCTCCCAGTGACCATTACCAAATGCAACAATATGACCAATCTGTTAATGACTAATTCGACCAATGATCATGACCAACCCGGTCACTGACCAAACTCACCATTGCCCATAACCTATTCGTTCAGTGACGAAAACCAAACCGTCCGACCAGTTATCATAACCAATCCAATCAATGACCAATCCACCCGTGACCAATTACCTCGACCAGTGACCATGACCAATTACCCCGAGCAGTGAGCATGCTTAATTACCCTGACAAATAAAGACCATGACCAATCCGACCATTGACCAGTTACCCGATCCGTGACCAATTACCCAACAAGTTACCATGACCAATTTGACTTCGTATTGATCGTTGTCGCCGCCACCCGGCGACCCCCAACCCCACTGCCTCCACCGGAAACTACCACCTGCTGCCACGGCTGCCCGACACCTCTGGCCGCCAATCCCAACCCCTCTCCTACACCAACCCAACTCCTCTCCAGCTTACCCCCAGCCCGTCACCCCACTGCACCGCTGTCCCCTACTACCCCTGACAACTGTCGCCACCCTCGTCCTCCACTGCCCCTTCCCAGCCCTCTCCCCCAACTCCTTAGCCCCCATCCCTTACACAATCGCTTCCCCACCCACTCACCCCGCCCCACCCTGCCCCTACAATCGCTGCATTCCACCATCATTCTTGCCTCCAAATCCATATCCGACCACTGATGGAACCACACTGGCCCCTAGCCCATCCCAACCCCCTCCCCTATTCCAGACTCGTCGTAACCCCCTCCCTTGCCCCCGTAAACCCTAGCCGCTTCAGATGTGATACCTGAATCGAGTTGCACCTCCATTGCCGATCGGAAGTGAGCGGCTATGGAAATCTGGCACTAATAGGGGAAGAAGAGAGGTGACGAAGAGGGGAAGAAGAGAGGCGGTGACGGATATCAGTATGATGCAGATGAAGCATGATGTACAAGATGATGGATTGTGCCGTTGTGCGAAAGCGTTGAACTGTTGCAGGGCCAAAGGTAGTGCCGCAATGCTGCGATTTAATTCTGACGTGATTTTAATCACTTATTAGTCCTATTCCAAAATTGGTCCTATTATGGTTTTAGATGAATTATCTATGTAAACATGTAAAATAGAGGTGGGAAGGTGGGTGTAGTCCATTGGATGACCATCCACCATCAAGTCTCTCCTTTGTGGGAGGTCTTGGGTTCAATTCCCACTAAGGGGAGATGAGGGAGGTCTTGCTCCCAATGATTCTTCCTACCTTCACGGAGTTGCTCAGTGGCTGAGAAGGGAGAGGATGGTAATGAAGGTAGCGGGTTCGTGTGGTGGGAGGAGTAACCTGAAAGGTGATGTAAGTCCTGCTGGATTCGTCATTTGGAGCCAGTACTGACGAGGCTGACTGTGATCACATCCGGATTTAACTGTCTAGGGCTTTGGATGGTAGTTCATAGACTCCAGGATTATGGGAGCGTAAGCCCCGACACCTGGATTATCACAAAAAAATGTAAAATAGAGGCTGTACATAAAAGTTACAAAAAAGGTGCAAAAACAGATTTTCCTTAAAATAATATACTTTTTCCTTCTAATTTTTCATTTTTAACTTTTATTTTTTGGTTGTCTCAAAATAAGTGTCATATTTTTTATAGGAAAGAAATATGTGGTCCACAACATTTCACTTTATTATACTCAAATCTTATCAACAACTTTTACTTTTTCAACCATTTATTAATAATTTTATCAAACCAAAATAAGACACATAAAATTGAACGGAAATACTATTAAAATATTTACAACTACAAGGTACATATATACTCCTCTTAAACGAGTCTTTAATTTGAATATCATACACTGAGAAATTAAAAGGTTCTCTCTTTCTCATCTTCTTAAAGTGTCTTTTATTGAGATAAATTTACAGCGATATATTACATATATTGTTTAAACTTTGAACCCTTTAACACGATTTGACACTATAAAAATTGCTTTATTTAATAAAGAATAGATGAATTTTTGTAAGAGACATGTAAAGTATGTAAAGAGTTGAGTTTAGAAAAAATAATATTTTTAAATAGAATGGGTAAATGTGTAACACCCCCTACCCGACCCGGATGGCTTTCAGCTTCTTTCTCGTTATTAAGCATACCTTCGGGTTGATTGGGATCCATGTAAAACCTAGATGAAACAATTTGGGAGTTTGCCAATCAGAGTCAAATTCTCGTGCATGTGCATTAATGACCTCCTATGTTATATGCAATTAGGGAGCGCTACTTGTGTGGTGGCTTTCAGCTTCTTCCTCGTTATTAAGCATACCTTCGGGTTGATTGGGATCCATGTACAACCTAGATGAAGCAATTTGGGAGTTTGCCAATTAGAGTCACATTCTCGTGCATGTGCATTAATGACCTCCTATGTTATACTATCCTCCGTATCGCATTAATTGCAACATTGGAATATATACACTATTCATGTACTTTACTTTGACTACATTTTATTTATTAATGTATGTGAATTATTTTTTTTTTTTGAAAAATATTACTTCCCCCGTCTCTTTTTAGTTGCAACAGTCAACATTTCACGTTTGCCAACGCACAACTTTGACCATCATTATATTTAATTCTGTATTAGTAAAAATAAAATAAAAATCAGATTATAAATCTTAGTAATGAGACGAATTTAACAACATTTTTCAAAAAAAAATAATTCACATACATTAATAAATAAAATGTAGTCAAAGTAAAGTACATGAAAAGTGTATACATTCCAATGTTGCAATTAATGAGATACGAAGGATAGTATTAAATTCGTCTCATTACTAAGTTTTATATATAATCTGATTTTTATTTTATTTTTACTAATACAGAATTAAATATAATGACGGTCAAAGTTCTGCGTTGGCAAACGTGAAATGTTGACTGTGCAACTAAAAAGAGACGTAGGAAGTATGCAATTTCTTAAGACACTAAGCACATAATTAACACATCAAACAAAATAGGACACTTGGCACACTAAGTGGAAACAAAAACAAGACCATACAGCAGTAGGTCTGGTATACATTAGATAGTTGTATACGGACTCCTGCATTTCAATTCATGCAACACCAGTGAAAATCCTTGGCTAGAAAAAAAATCTGGGAATTAAGGTGCTAGTAGGTATTTTACCTTACAAACATAGTCTAAAGGAAAACCACCAATAAATATGACTAAGGAGGAAAATATTTGGGAGATATCTGCCAAGTCAACCAGCACAGAGTCACACTTGCATTTAGTAATATCTCATTTTAGTTTGCATAATAAATATTTAGTTAGCTTACTAGTATAATGTAATAGCTTAGCAACACTAAACATGTGTGTGCCATGTACAAATAATAGATGCTTCTGCGATTATGTACTTTCACAGATTACTATCATTAGCTTATTTGAATGAAAAGCATTTTTATGAGATACAATATTTTAAAATAGAATAGTTAGTAGACACTTTGGTGCTCCGGCACTGCGGATAGCGCTCCCTGCTGCTCAGCCTTCCGGGCCAGGTAGGAGGTGTTAGAAAATGAGATCCGTAAAATATTGTTTAGATACGGTCCTAGTAGTATCTAAAAGCTTCTGTTTGATTACATTTGACGAGTGACAGAGTATAGAGACTCGGACCCCGGGGTCTCACGACTATTGAGCCTGGACAGCGGCCCACGTACACTGAGTTGATAGCATTTTCATTATTGTACATTATTATTATTATTCAGGTGTTCTAGATTAGACATTTATATTATCAGTCCATTTATATTACCTAAATGGAAATCTAGATGAGGACGTGTATATGATACAACCTGAGGGTTTTGAACATCCAATCAATGATGGGAAGGTATGCAAGCTCAAAAGATCAATATATGGTCTGAAGCAAGCATCTCGGAGTTGGAATCTTCATTTTGATGATGCAATCAAAGAGTTTGGTTTCAATCAAAACGAAGAGGAACCTTGTGTTTACAAGAAATTGAGTGGAAGTGCAATCACTTTCCTAGTCCTATATGTAGATGACATACTTCTCATTGGGAATGATGTTCCGATGCTTTCGTCTGTAAAGGCTTGGCTTGGAAAGTGTTTCTCAATGAAAGACTTGGGTGATGCATCCTATGTGTTAGGGATCAAGATCTATAGAGATAGATCTAGAAAGCTAATAGGACTAAGTCAAAGTAACTACATTGACAAGGTCCTACATAGGTTCAATATGCAAGATTCCAAGAGAGGGTTCTTGCCTATGTCACATGGCACACATCTCAGCAAGACTCAGTGTCCACAAACACAAGATGAGCGAGATCGAATGAATAGAGTCCCTTATGCTTCTGCTATAGGTTCTATCATGTATGCTATGTTATGTACTCGCCCTGATGTAGCTTGCGCTCTAAGCATGACTAGTAGATATCAGTCAGATCCAGGTGATAGTCACTGGATAGCGGTCAAGAATATTCTAAAGTACTTGAGAAGAACTAAGGATGTATTCTTGGTCT